CTGAGCCCACCTTGTGCGACTCAATGTACAGCCGTCCTCATATGATGTCTTTCTCGAATCTAGAACGATTCTTGGCCATATGCGCTTGGCAAATGGCTTGGCAGTCCGACAACGATGTCCACTGTGAGTGGCGCTGCTTCTTGGTCGGCACACGCCACAACTGACCTTGCACCCAAGTTGCCCCAGCCGCATGCCCGTTCGCATCTCTTTATCCGCCGTCTCACCCTGCCTCCTCGCCATGCCTGGCTGTTATGCACGTCGGGAACCTTGCCCTGGACTAGCCTATGCACAACTTGGAACGCCTTCTGCCCAAAAAGTGGCACACAAATCCGCCGACTCGTGCGCGCTACCTCACCCACGGCACCAGCAAGGCTCTGTCATAGACCAATACTGTGAGCCTCGTGGACCGTTTTGGAAGCCTCTGGCGTTGTCTTTCGACTCTGTTCGGTCGCCTTTCGGCCATCTTGGACGCCTCTGGGGCTATCCTCAGGCTGTCTTCAGATCCTGCGCCTCCAGCGTCGTTCTGCTGCTGCCATTCTTGCCCCTCCTGCGCCCCTCTTGCGCCTCCTCCTGCTTTCCTGCCCGCCCCCCCTCCCGGGCCCAAATGGTGCTCCTCCTCCTCCTCCTCCGCCCTCCCCCCCCTCTGGTTTCCAAATCCCGTCATCCTTGTCCCCGAACCCCCCCTGGAGCTGCACGGGCTGGCGGCTAACCTCCTGGTGTGCCCATTACTCCCACAGACTCCCTCTCTTCTAGAGGCCCCGGGAGAACTCCATTCCTGACGTTTCCGCGCGTATCCGCACCGAGCGGAGGTTCCTCCAGGGAAACTCCATTTCTTACGTTTCCATTTCTTACGATTCGCGCGGATTTCCTTGATTTTCAGAGGGGGAGGTCACGTCGAGGATCGAACCTCGGGGATCGAACTTCGAGAGTCGAAGAGACTTTTGACCATTTCCGTCACTCTGGAGCCTCCTGAAGCCCACCGCGGCTGAAACGGACAATGGGGGAACCGACGACGACGACGCCGCCGGCAGCGCCGACGGCAGCGGGGACGACGCCCACGACGACGACGGCGACGGCGGCGGCGACGAAGACGATGACGACGACCACGACGACGACGACGACGACGACGGCGACCACGACCACTTCTTCTAGCCATCTTGGGCCGTCTTCAGCTCACCATTCCCTCGCGAAACGCCCCGTCCAGATCCAAGGAGGATGGTAGGTATCCGGCACAAGCTTCTCCCGAACATAGGAAGACCCCACTCCCAAAACAGAGGCAATATTGATATGGAACTCGAAAGACATCGTTGGACAACCCCACGCAAGAAAACCTGATGATATTCATTCTTCCATGGCCGTTTCGGCTCAAGCACACCGAACGTCGTACCGCCGTTGTTCACGCCACCTTGTATAATGCCACAGAACAAGAAGCAGCAGGAGGCAGCGTTGGCCGCTGCTTTTCAAAAGCTGGAGGACGACCCTCGGGCCCGCACCCTCGCCGACCTTGGGTTTAACACACAGAGCCTCATGGTCCGCCAGCAAAAAGAACAAGTAGACATATTACGTGCTCGATTAGAGGATCGCGCCGAAGTGGACAGGCGAGTGCGGCAGCGTGTCGTGGGGCTCACTGCAGACATGCCCAGAGCCCAATTCAAGCAACTAGCTGGCATTCGGATACGCAACGCCACGCTTCCACACGAGCGGCAAGCGTCGAGCGCCAGTGCGTCGACATCAGCATCTAGCTCCGGCCAGCCAGCAGTGACATTGCACAACTATTTCACCCCCGGGCTCGCTACTCCCAGTGCTCCTGGACACATACACGCTCTTACCACTGTAATGCTAGCATGCTCTTTGGCGCACGTCGCCTATGATATCTACGCAAAGGAAAAACATGTCAAAGTTTGGAGTGAGATCCGACAAGCATATTGTTCAGAACCAGCAGCTGCAGCGGAGTTTGACCAGCACCTTACGTGGCTCCAGACAAAGCGGCATTGCCGCTTCAGGGGCTCTTGCCACGTTCCGCGTACACCGCACTCACATCTATACCCCTGGGTGGGTGTATGTGCGGCCGTTTTTGCGCTGTCATGTGCGCGCATGTGCGCGGCATGTGCCAGTCATGTGCCAGGCCTGTGCGGTCCTTCTTGGATGGACTTCCTACTGTGCACGTCGTGCCCAGGCATGTGCGGGGGCATGCGCGCTGTGTTTTGATGTATCCATCATACGCACATGCACGCACAGTCCGACGCACATGCGCGCACATGCCTGCACATGCGGGAGGTGTTCGAGAATCGCAGATCTGTCATCGGCACATGCACGCACATGCCTGTGCAACCTCTCTTCGGGAGGCCGCGCGGGCCCGCACATGCACGCACATGCGGTGAAGCGCGCGGGCGCACATGCGTGCACATCCCAATGCACATGCACGCTCATGCCCTAGGAGCTGTCTGGGACCCCTGTGCCTCCAATGCCTCCTGGCCTTCGCAGAGCTATCTTGGGGCGTGCCAGGGTTTCCTGAAAGAGTTTGTTGTGCGTTTAGAGTCGCCCGCTGCTGGCGGGGGCGGTTATTCGCCCGGTTCGTGAGCTGGCGTTGGCGCGCCCGCCGAATAAAATACTCTCCCGCGCGCCTTCTCAGCTCGGCCGGAGAAGCAGGGATGGGGAGGGGGAGGTGGAAGGGGGGGGGAGGAGGGGGGGGCGGAGGAGGCGGGCGCCCCCGGCCACTGGCCCGCCTGCCTGTTCGGCTCGGCCAGAGGAGAAGGAGGAGGAGGAGGAGGAGGAGGAGGGAGGAAGAGGAGGAGGAGGAGGAGGAGGAGGAGGAGGAGGAGGTGAGAGTTGCGAGGATGTCTCAGGCGAAAGTGGCTTGACGGCCCGAGCTCAGGGAATTTCGGAATCGCTGGCCTGGCTCGGCCACCGGCGAGCTCGGCCTGTGCGAATACTGTGCGTACCTGTGCAGTGCATGTGCGGGACGTGCAAGAATGCCGGGGCCGGCGTTCGTCTCCGGACGCCGGCGCGTTCGCGTCCGGCCAGTTCCGCGTGAGACGTCGTCGGCAATTTGGAGGCCGACGTGCTTTGACATGAAGTGATCTGGCCACCTTCGCTTGAGACATCCTCGCAACTCTGGTCTCGGAGATGCCCTGCCCCATGGTGGCCCGGCCACTTTCGCTTGAGACATCCTCGGGACTCTGGGTTTCGAGACGCCCTGAGCTGAGGTGGTTAGACCACTTTCGCTTGAGACATCCTCGCAACTCTGACCTCAGTGATCTCCTGCCCCATGCTGGTCAGGCCACGGTCGCCTGAGACATCCTCGCAAGTCTCGGTTCCGATATGCCCCGAGCTGAGGTGGTCAGCCACTGTCGCCTGAGACATCCTCGCAACCCTGATTTCAATGATGCCCTGCTCGATAGTGTCTCGGCCCCTTTCGCCTGAGACATCCTCGGAACTCTGGGTTCCGAGACGCCCTGAGCTGAGGTGGTTAGACCACTTTCGCTTTAGACATCCTCGCCCGAGATGCCCTGAGTTGAGCTGTTCAGGCCACTTTTGCCTGAGACATCCTCGCAACTCTGACCTCAATGATGCCCTGCTCCATAGTGTCTCGGCCTTTTTCGCCTGAGACCCTCGCAACTCTGGGTTCTGAGATGCCCTGAGCAGGTGGTCAGGCCAGTCCTGCCTGAGACATCCTCGCAACTCTGGGCTCCGAGATGCCCTGGGCTGAGGTGGTCAGACCACTCTCCCCAGAGACATCCTCGCAACTCTGACCTCAGAGATCTCTTGCCCCATGGTGGTCAGGCCACTTTCGCTTGAGACATCCTCACAACTCAGACCTCGGAGGTGTCCTGCCCCATGGTCGTCTGGTCACCTTGACCAGCGACATCCTCGCCACTCTGGTTTCCAAGATGCCCTGCCCCATGGTGATCCGGCCACGCTTGCCTGAGACATCCTCGGAACTCTGGGTTGCGAAATGCCCCGAGCTCAGGTGGTCAGGCCACTATCGCCTGCGACATCTCTGCGGCATGTGCGGGCATGTGCGTCTATGCTTTCAGAGTTTTGCTTGACCGTGCATTCGACTGTGCGTCGGACGGTGTGGCATGTGCGCGCATGTGCGGCAATGCTGTTGAGGCTGTTGTATATTTGCATGGGCATGTGCATGCGACTGTGCGGCATGTGCCTGCATGTGCGGCCCCTTCCGGACCACAATTTCAAAGTGAGCACTATAGAAGTGAGCGCTATAGAAGTGAGTCCGGTGTACAACCTTATTCAAATGGCTTACGCCACTCCGCCTACCCCCAGAAAAAGTGAGAGCTTGCGACAATCATGAAAGTCGTCCGGTAGCCTTCGGCACCAACTCGCCACCATTGCTGGGCTGTGGGTCAAGAGCCTCGTCGATGAATCTTACGGTCTCTTGGGATGCCTCTCACGGGCCTCTTGCAGGGCTGTTGAAGACACCTGGGAGCTTTCCTGGAAGCTTCTTGGGGGCTGCTTCGGAGCGTCTTGGAGGTCTCTTCCGGTCTCTTGGGGACGCCTGGGGCGCCTCCGCAGCGCTCTTCGGCAAATCTTGGGAGTAAGGTTCGAAATGCTCCCTCGTATTCCTGTTCTTCGGCTCTGCTGAGGCCCTCGTGGGTCTGTCTAGGACGGCTTTGTTGGTCCCTGGGGCCGTCTGGATGCTTTCTTGGGCCGTCAGAGGGCCCTCTTAGGAGCCTCATGGGTTGCCTTGGGTCGACCTTGGGGGAGCCTTGGGCCATCTCAGACGCTGTCATAGCGAACATGCGAGCATGCAAAGGTGGTGCGTCATCCGATGGGAATGGGGCGATTTTTGTTTCTTGAGGTTTTCTCTGCGGTCCTCTGGGAGCACTCTTGGACGGGAGCCGCATGTCTCACACGCCTTTTCACCCCCGGCAAGCAGGGGCCGCGAGATTGTAGCCGCACAGACAACCCCTGGTATACTCTTTCTGTAACACGACCCACGCCAGCGCGCGGGCAGCGGATCAACTTTCACTTTGTCGGACATGACGGAGCGCATGTTGGCAGAGTGCCGCTCACTGGGACCCACTGCCCAGTGCATAAAATTTCTCGGGCTGACGTATCTAACGGGCTGAGCCTTTTCCGCGTGGCCCACGTCCGCCAGGAAACGCCATTGATCTCCAAAAACACGATGCCATCATGCGAGCAGCAGAGCTTTGGCGTTCGGGAGGCACGACAGCAAAAGACGAAACCACTAAATAATGATTTCCCACGCTCCGCGTTGCCCCCTCCCGGGGGAGCAGGACTTCCTCGGAAATAGTCGCCGATACGTCGATTCATGGAAAAAAAGCATGTTTTTTGGAAGGCGACGCGCTGCACAAGGCAATGACAAAGGGAATCGCCGACACATACGTTGTGAATTTTCACGACCTGCCAGTTTCGAGTGCAACGGGCTACCAGGCCACATCCATCAAAGGCACGACGGCGGCCCAAGTGACAGCCAAAGCAGTGCACTTAGCTTTTATATCAACGAACGCATTGACAAGAATGCCTCCTGAAACTCTGCGAGATTGGAGAGCAATTCGTCAGGTGGCAAGGTGCAGCAAGCTATTCATGCGCTTCCAGCTACTCCGACGCTCCCCCGCACGCAATCACACTTAGTCTACATATGTCAACACCAGCCGTCTGCCGTCCACGCGCCAGGGGATTTCCCACGGAACAGGCGGGCAAGCAATGATGATCTGCAGGTTGTGGACTCGGGCGTTTGACGTGCAGCCTCTGTCGCCGGAGGAATTCACCACCTTCTCAGCCGAATACGTCCCGCGGCCCTACATCAGGGAACGGGGCCCGCACGATTACGGCATCCTTCTTCGATCGCTCGCACTCGGCAGCGACGTCGGAGAGGCCATCTGTCGAGACGCCGAAGCTCTTGGAGTGAAGCTGTCGATTCGCCTTCGGCAGACCGTCGTTCCTCTGGGCAAGACCATGGGAAGGCAATCAGCTCGTGACTCAGCCAAGAACCCGGAGATTTGAGCGTTACAACCCCAGCCCCTCGCTACCTTTCACAAGTGCGTCAATCTTACACCCTTTCGCTACGCCATACAGGCGCTGTGGCGGATTTGATGAATCTCATGTAGAGCACGCCTGGTGCGAACTCAGGAAACGCGCACACAACTCAGGCCCCCAGCGCGCGGCTGCGCCAGGATCCGCCGACCCAGCTAGAACAAAGGAAGCACCCAGGACCGAGCTATATCTGTGAGGTGGGTATTCTATGGGCGCACGTCTTCTAATCTTAGCTGCCCATACTGGGCTGTGGATTACTGCAACTCTCGGGAGCCCGCGCCGTGATCTTATGCTCAGTTGTGTCAACTGCACCTCCCTTGTCGAGACAGACGGGATCACCTGTGCCATGACAACGCACTTCAATACATCTCCCGCGCTGCGGTGGAAAAGCTTTCCAAAAGCAACCGGAGTGCTGCTTATGCACCTTCCTCCCTCATCGTATACCCCTCTGCTTTTCCCTCGTCGTCATCCCCTTCCTCCTCCACCTGCCTCCCTTCAGCGAGAAGCTCCCGTGAAGGCTCGAGCGCCGATTTCAAACTTCGAACCTCGGGGCCCGAACAGACTTTTGGACGTTTCGGACCTCTGAAAACCATCTTCGAGCCCTGGGGCCCTCGGGACCCGAGCCTGGACGAAAATCTCCGTCGAGGGCGTTGAAACGGACAATGGGGGAACCGACGACGACGACAGCGACGACGACAGCGACCACGACACGGCGGCAGCGACGGCAGCGGCCACAGCGGCGACGACGCCGACGCCGACGATGACGACGGGGGCGGCAGCGACGGCAACGTCGGCGACGACGGCGACCTCGGCGGCGACGACGACGACGACGAGGACGACTACGACGACGACGGCGACGACGACGACGACGACCCCTTCAGTCGCCCCTGCTTCCCTTCGGCGAAGGCTTTCGTCCAGGAAAGCCCGCGACGGCTGAAACGGACAATGGGGGAACCGCAACGACGACGACGACGCCGACGACGACGACGACGTCAAGAGGGAAGTGTACCAAGAATGTATACACCCCGATACCACAAACATGAATATAATCCTGCAGATTTTCCATACAGGAGAGCGGGGGGGAATGCATTATTCCCCAGCTCTGGTGGCTCGCATGGGAACGTGCTGAGCTCACCCGGTGGCTCGCATGGCTACGTGCTGAGCTCACCGTGCATTAGGTCGCACTTTTTCACTTCATTCAACGCCGTCAGGGGGCGGGGGCAATTTGTTAACCTCGTCCCCCAACAGCCGTTTGGCTCAAGTTTCATGGTTCTGCATGCCTGTTGGGAGGAACACCCATCCACCTCATGGGAAAGACGCGCCAACGCACATCACGGGGTAAGACACATACCCACTCCAGATCGACGCTCAATCAACTCGCTCGGGACTACAGGCGACAACACCGACGGGAGGGCGCCGAGCCAACATGTGATGCTCTGGAGGCCGAACACGACCCCACCGCTGGGAACTCCGACGACCAGCAGTTGCGAGGAGACGACAGCCGCGAGCCCGATGCAGGATCGTGCGAGGTCGTGGGAGAAAGCTGCGGCGGCCCCGCTGACGCAACCATCGTCGTCACGGGATTCCCGGACTCCTGGTTCCGGCACCCTACAACGACGTCGCTGCCCGTCAGGCTGCACGACCTTTTTGGCAAGTTCGGCCCACTGGAGTCCATGCCCGTCCTCCGCCCCGGGCCCCCCCTGCATGCCACCGTGACCTTCAAGCATCCGGCCGTCGCCGCGTTCGCCGCTAGGAAAATCCACGGCATCGACAATCGAACCGTCGCAGAGATTCAGAGGTGTGGCGGTCGTGCCGCTGCGAACTACCAGCGCTTCCACGTCCACTTGCTATCGAGCGGAACTTCGGCAACTTCTTCTTGAGCCCGTGAGAGCATTCTAGAAACGCGCCTCTTCTCCCGTTGCCTGCCTTCTTCCACTCTCACCGCAGCAATACTTTTCCATTCGGCCTACACTCTTCATGCCACTCACGCATTTTCTGCGTCCACCATGACAACCTGGAAAATGCTTCCGCGTCCCCCTTATTTGCAGTTTGACCAACATACCAACACAGCACATGACATTCCACAGAAAGTTCTCTTCGCCATCGCTGCATGAGATCTGTGCGTGTTTACCCCATGCGTTCGTGCCTCTCTAGGGGAATGCCCAGTTAGGACCCCCCGCAGAACCGCCCACCTCTTTCTTCCACAGACTATTGGCTTGCAGCGCGTGCTGTCCGGCGTCGCCGCCCTCGAGCCCCGCACTGGCAACCAGGCCGCGACGGCCCTGCTGCCCTGCGCCAACATGAACCAGCTGGAGAGCATGAACCACATGAACGCCTCCACAAAGTGCCTGCAGATGCGCCTGCACCACACTTACGAACGCGATGCGAAAAAAGACATGGCCGTATTCGGCGGATACTACGTCACGGAAACAGGCGCCTACATTGTCGGAGAGGCGCTGGTGTGGGGAGACGCTGACAAACGACGGCCCATCCTTGACGCTTTGAAGAAAAAGTACATCGACGGAACAGCCTGGGAGTTCAAGAAACTCAATGCCACCAAGAAAAAAGAGGCATTCCACTCCAGCCCGCACCCCTGCTTCTTCGCCTTGAACGACAAAGCCCTCCAGAGCAAGAAACTTGAGAAGAAGTTCGCCGATGAGCTCCCGACCGAGATCGAACCGCCGATGACCACGACCGAAGCCATGCAACTCTCCAAGAGCCAACTCGTCGATCTCACCGCCTTCCTCATCACGAAGGCCGGCCCGGTGAAGGCCAACGATAAGTCAGTCCAAGAATTACACATTTGCGACACCCGTGGGGCCGTGCTGAAGTTCAACTTCTGGGCAGAGCACCAGGAGAAAGCCACCGACCTGAACGCCCAAGACACGTTGTACATTTTCGGGGCCTACTTCACGAAGGACGCCGATGACAAAGCACACCTCACTGCGACGGACACCACGAAGATCTTCAAGGCTTCCGGCCAGCTGGAGCGCGCCAAAGCGTTCGCGGACACCAACTTCGAGGCCCTCGAGAAAACGACCCTCGGCCACGCCGGCTCCCGCAAGGACTTCACGCAGGGCCCCGCAACCGCGGCTGCCGTCGGCACGTTGGACCACCTCACTTTCTTCAAGACGCCGTTGCCCGACACGTTGTACGAACTCGCTGGGTGCTTGGTGCCCCTCGGCGCCGCCGACGAGGACTCCTTGCTGACGAAAGACAAGCAGCGCATCTGGACCCAGGTCTCCCTTACAGATTGGTCCGGCACCACGTCCGCCAAGCTCACCGAAGACGCCGCGCTCCTCCTCTCCGACACCCCCGACAAGACCGAGCTCATGGAGGCCGCAGCTGCTGGCGCACTCACTATCTCCCGGGCTCGACTTCGCGTGCAAGTCGCCGCCCCCGAAGTCGACGACAAGCCCGACTCCGCCGTGAAGGGCCCCATCGTGTCCATCGTCGCCGCGCTGCCACGCCCCTTCGACGACCACGTGCCACAGCCAGTCTTGCCCAGCGACGACCGCTTGCTCCCGGCGCTCGTGGCGTGGGCGTCGACCTCGCCAACGGGCAAGATCTCTGCCCGCTGCCCCGACCACCAGAAATCGTTCCTCGCCTCAGGCGCGGGGCACCCCGACACCCAATTTCGTGCGATTCCCCGTGGTCCCCACCCCCCCCCCGGATGATGGGCCCATGCCTAATGTTCCCCAGGGGAGCACGTTCGTCGCCGACACCCGCTAACGCAACTTAGCCCCGCCCCCTCGTAGCGCCACGGGAGCAACCGTGTTACGTATTCCCACTCCCCGAATCTCCTTGGATCGCCACAGGCATCCTCACCCTGGTGCGCAGCGTCCGGGAGCCCGTCACGACGACCATCGAGGACGGCTTCTGCATCCAGAATGCCGTGGTCGACGCGGCAGACACGGGCAACGAGCACCAGGCATGGGCGGCAACCACCACAGCCCCCATTGCGAGGCTCACGCGCTACTCTCTGCCCAAGAACGACATCGCGCTTGTCCACGTCGCCCACGTTGACCCCGCGAAGCGCCAGCTCGCAGTGGCGGACATGTGGCGTCTGCCAGCGGGCACGACTCCTGAGCAATGGAACCAGGAGATGACCAACACGTGGGCGTCACTGCAGACGCCGCCGCCCAACCTGAAACGCAAGGCCACCGAGTTCCAGACAGCGCTGGACACGCTCATGGGGCCCGCGCACAAGAAGCACCACCCGCGCATCGGCGGCCCCAGTGAGCCCGCGCCATCAATGTAGCGTGATTAGGTGCTACCGTCCCAGCATTCGGCGCGCCGGCGGCGCCTCCCTTCTTTTCTCGATTTCGGTGGCCCCAGTCTCACCGATCCCAGCCCTGCCCCTTTCACAGGGATCCCGGGCTCGCGAATGTCGAGAAACCCGAAGCTTTCATGTTGCGCGACCCGTGCCCGCACGACGGCTTGCTTCACAAGGCTTTTTAATGGCGCCTCCCGTCCGAGGCGTCCGCGCAACAGATCACCGTAACCACGACATGCTCCCTTGCCCCTGCAGTACTAATAACTTCATCTCCTCCTGCCTCTTCCCTCCTCCCTCCTCCCTTGCACTCCTGCTCCCCTGCCTCCTCCTCGCTCCTCCCTCCCCCTCTCCCTCCTTCTGCCCCTCTCCCTCTCACCTCCCCCCTCCCTCCCTCCCTCCCTCCTTGTCCTTCAAGAAGGGGGGACTCACGTCGGGGATAGAACCTCGAGGATGGAACTTCGAAGATCGAGGACACTTTTGACCGTCTTCGTCTCTCTTCAGCCTCCTGGGCCCCTGCGCGGCTGAAACGGACAATGGGGGAACCGACTGCAACGACGACCACGACGACGGCGACGCCGACGACGACGGCGGCGGCAGCGACGGTGGCGGCGACGGCGACGACGACGCCGGCGACGACGACGACGACGACGACGACGGCGACGGCGGCGACGGCGGCAACGGCGACGACGGCGACGGCGGCGGCGACGACGACGACAACGACCACGCCGACGTCGACAGCAACGGCTACGACCACGACGACGAAAACGGCGACAACGACGACAACGACGTCCCCGGTGACCCTGAGGATGGCCGGACACGCCCCGACAGAGCGTCACAACGTCAAACGGACAACGCGGGAACCGACGTAATGCGCTCTATGGGCATCCTCTTCCTTGCTGTTCTTTTTCTCGCAAGTGACGCCCACTTGTCCTTCAAGGAACCCCGCGAAACCGGGCGCAGTTCGCAGTACATTTGCGCGTCGTCATACACTCGTCTCGTCCTCCATCCACATCCTCTTCCCACTAGTGTCCCTCCTTGTCCCCATCCCCTCCGCAGCGCTCTAACCACTCTCACCTCTCCTCTCTCCTCTCCTCCCCTCTCCTCTCCTTCCTCCACCATTACTCCATATCAATACTTGCCCATCGCCCATCGCCCACCTTCAACAGGGCATTCTGACAGACCAAACGCGCGCGTCCAAAGCCCCGAACGTCTTTGAAACACCATATCCAAGCTTCACAACGTGAAACGGACAACACGGGAACCGACATGATGAACCCTATGCGCATCCTCTCAACCGCAGTTCCCAATTCTCCCATCCGCCCATTTGTCCTCCCCGCCGGTAGCTCGCATGGTGGCGTGCCAGATCCTCAACAGACAACCAGGCCACCAGCCCGAACCTGCCAGACCACTGCCCGATCATATATAAACCAATCCGAAAGCCACATGCGTTCGTCTCCCGTCCCCTCCACTTGCAGGGCATCATTGGACAAACGACTCCGATCATGGCTTGCTCACCTCACATGCACAGAATCAGGGACCCAACTTGAGACCTACTCGCCCAAAAGCAACCCGGACTGTGCATCATTTCTGCGCCGCCATCGCACGCGCAGGCCGCAAGACGCCTTCAAAAAACCCGTGCCCCGATGGAGCCCCCACCTGCACGGTTTCCTAACAATCCTCCAAAATGCCCGGAAACGCCCCGACGAAGTGTCACGGCGTCCAAGGGACAACACGGAAACTTTGACCACCGTTAGAACCTTCTAGCGAAACGCTATTAGGGACATTTCCAGCTTTACACGCAAAGAGACCCCCAAGAGGCCCCCAAAGGCCCCCAAGAGGCCCCAAGAAGGCACCAAGAACTCCCCAAGAGGTCCACAGGAAACTCCCAGAGGCCCCAAGAGGGCACCAGGACTCCCCAAGAGGGTCCCAAGATGGCCAGAGACGTCCCGACAAAGCGTCACAGTGTCAAACGGACCACACGGGAACCAACACAATGCGCCCTCTAAACCTCCTCTTCTCTGTTTTTTTGTTCCTCGCAGGTCACGCCCACCGGTTCTCCGAGGTCGGGGTTCGTGGCAATATCAGGCTCCCCGACCTGGCGGAGGGGTTCCCGTGGTGTGTCCCCCTGGGGGGGTCTGGGGGGGGGACCCCCCGGGACAGGGCCCCGGCCACGGGCGGAACGCCGGCGGAAGACGGCGGAAGTCCGGCAGGACACGGCATCATTTCTGCAGACGCGCTTCCGGGAGGCACGGACGGCCCCAAGATGGTCCACGAGATGGTTCACGAAGGCCTCGAGTTGCCGAAAGATCGGCCTAAGACGCTCAAGATGGCGTCCCGACGGCCCAGGGAGCCCCTAAGACGCCCCGAAAGACCCCCAAGAGCTTTCCCAGGAGAGTCGGAAACGTCAAAAACCATAAGTTTTCCTTACGTGTTCGAAGGTTTTTGAAGTTTTTGCATTTTCGGCTTCTCGGCGCTCCAAGACGGCCCAAGAGGCCCCAACGATCGCCCCAAGACGGCCTCAGCAGCCCTCAAGACAGCGCCCAGACGGACCAAGACGCCCACAAGACGGCCCAAGAGGCCTCCAAGACCCCCTCAGAAAGGTCAACGAACGCCCCAAAAGAGCCCCCAGAGGGGAGGCGGGGACCGACATTTCGAGCTCCCCGCCCAAAGATCCCCCCAGGAGACCCAGGAGGCCCCCACGAGGCCCCCAAGAGGCCCCCAGGAAGCCCCCTTGGAGGCCCCAAGAGGCCTCAAGACACCTCCAGGAAGCCCCCCGAAGCGCCCACGAGGGCACCGGGACTGTCCCAACAAGGCCCGGGACGGCTGGAGGCGCCTCGACAAAGTGCCACATCATCGAACAGACAACACGGGAACTTCAGGAGGCACCTCGAGGCACCCAAGAAGACCCCAAGAGGCCTCAAGACCTAGTCACCCGCCCGCCAGGTTTCGCCCGCCCGATCCGCCTGTTACAGCCCGCCCGTTCGCTCTCTTGGCATCTCGCCCGCCCGCTTTAAGCCACCGCCCGCCCGACCCGCCAGCGAGGGTCCGCCGCCCGACCCGTCCGTTGGCGTCCGCCCGCCCCGCCAGCCCGACCCGCCCCTCAGAGTCCGCCGCTCGACCCGTCTGTCTGGTTCGTCCGTTTGTTTACCTCCTCTTTTGCCCCCCTCCCCTCCTGCTAACCTCTTTCGTCCTCCATCCATCCTCCCCCCCTTGCCCCTTCCCTCCTCCCTCCCTCCCCCCACTCTTTTCCTCCTCGCTCTCCCTTCCTCCTTCCCCCTGCTCTTCCTGTTTTAGGGGCTGCGCCAACTACACGTGGCGAGTAAAAAAGATATACCCCCAAAGGGGTATGACCGAAGACGAAGAGGGTGGGTATCGAGGGTTTGGGATTTACATATTGAGTGACGCGCGCGCATATAAGAGCGATCAGTCTTAAGATGATTGTTGTTGTTGTTGTTGTTGTTGTTGTTGTTGTTGTTGTTGTTGTTGTTGAACATTATTTCTTCTAAAGAATAATTATTGTTGGGGCCCCTGGTGCACGACCCCCCCGCCGAGCCTAGGCCGCAGCCACATTTTCATCATTTTCGTGAGGAAGTCTCAGGCAAAACGGGTTGGTCCGGATCCGGTTGTTTTGTTCTGGCCCGCTTTCCCTTGCAAAAGATAAGCTAAAGTGGACATTTCTTGTTCTAACATAACCGAACTTCAAGAATCCCTTGCAAAAAACAAGGTAAAGTGGACATTCGCGCGCGCAAGACGAAATCCTTCCAAAACCTTAGTTTTCGTAGCGATTTTAACATAAAACCATCAAAAAACCAATGTTTTTTTTTTTTTAAAAAAAAAAAAACAAAAAAAAATGTCAAAATTTCATCCCGCGCGCTCTTGCGGATTCGTAGGAAACCCAACACTTTTTAAACATTTCTGTCAAACGGGCTTTTGCGAGCAACTTTTTCGAACTTCTGCAACAACGGTTGCGCACCTGCCAGGGCCATCATCCCTGTCAAATAATACCATGCGGGACACATTCGTTTTTTCTTCGCGCGCGCACGCCGTCGTCGTCGGCCGCGGGGCCCTGAATAGTAGCCACGGTCGTCCGCATGCCACGAAGTGAAGTGTCCGAACGTCATAGGGCGGGAAGCTGGGTGTGGGTGGTGGCGAAGAGTCGTTTGGAAATTTGGTAGAGCTTGAACCGGCCCCCCCACAAAGTGGGGGTATTGCCCGCCTCCTATGAAAACCCTGGCACTGGTGAGAACGGAGTGTCCCCACGTGCTAGTAATTGTTGTTGAACATTATTACTTCTAAAGAATAATTATTGTTGGGCCCCCTGGTGCACGCCCCCCTCGCCGCGCCTAGGCCGCAGCCACATTTTCATCATTTTCGTGAGGAAGTCTCAGGCAAAACGGGGGAGTCCGGATCCGGTTGTTTTGTTGACGCCCGCTTTCCCTGTCAAAAAACAATATAAAATGACATGTCTTGTTCTAACATAACCAAACTTCAAGAATCCTTTGCAAAAAATGACACGAAGTGCACACTCGCGCGCGCAAGATGAAATCCTTCCAAAACCTTAGTTTTCGTAGCGATTTTAACATAAAAACATGAAAAACCCAATGGTTTTTCAAAAAAAAAGTTTCAAAAATTCATCCCGCGCGCTCTTGCGGATTTCTTAGGAAACCCAATACTTTTTCAACATTTCTGTCAAACGGGCTCTTGCGAGCAACTTTTTCACGTGCTTCGAACTTCTGCAACAACGGTTGCGCGCCTGCCAGGGCCATCATCCCTGTCAAATAATACCATATGGGACACATTCGTTTTTTCTTCGCGCGCGCACGCCGAAATCTTCAAACACCATTGGGTTTCTTAAGAATTTCAGCACCGCGTATCATAAAATCGCACGAATCGCACCGTAGGTCCTCGAAAAACACGTGCACGGATTTTCAAAATTTCTACCCGCGCGCGCTGTCCGAATCCTTAAAAACCAATGGTTTTTCAACATTTATGTTACATGAGCTCGCGCGAGCTACTTTCGCAAGCTCTTTCAACGGCGTTCGCGCGCCTGCCAGGGGCCACAATCCGCCAGTGTAGTAGCCACGCGCCAGTGTAGTAGCCACGGTCGTCCGCAGGCCACGAAGTGAAGTGTCCGAACGTCATAGGGCGGGAAGCTGGGTGTGGGTGGTGGCGAAGAGTCGTTTGGAAATGTGGTAGAGCTTGAACCGGCCCCCCCACAAAGTGGGGGTATTGGCGGCGTCGTATGAAAACCCTGGCACTGGTGAGAACGGAGTGTCCCCACGTGCTAGTAATTGTTGTTGTTGTTGTTGTTGTTGAACATTATTAATTCTAAAGAATAATTATTGTTGGGCCCCCTGGTGCGCGCCCCCCCTGCGCCGCCTAGGCCGCAGCTACATTTTCATCATTTTCGTGAGGAAGCCTCAGGTAATTCGAGTGATCAAGATCCGGTTGTTTTGTTGTAATCCGCTTTCCCTTGCAAAAAACACTATAAAATGACATTTCTTGTTCTAATATAATCAATTTTCAAGAATCCCTTGCAAAAAATAAGGTAAAGTGGACATTCGCGCGCGCAAGACGAAATCCTTCCAAAAGCTTAGTGTTCGGAGCGATTTTAACATAAAAACATCAAAAAACCAATGGTTTTTCAACAAAAAAATGTCAAAATCTCATCCCGCGCGCTCTTGCGGATTCGTAGGAAACCCAACACTTTTTAAACATTTCTGTCAAACGGGCTTTTGCGAGCAACTTTTTCGAACTTCTGCGACAACGGTTGCGCACCTGCCAGGGCCATCATCCCTGTCAAATAATACCATGCGGGACACATTCGTTTTTTCTTCGCGCGCGCACGCCGAAATCTCCAAAAACCATTGGGTTCTGTGGGTGTGTACCCCACGCCAGTGTAGTAGCCACGGTCGTCCGCACGCCACGAAGTGAAGTGTCCCAACGTCATAGGGCGGGAAGCTGGGTTTGGGTGGTCGCGAAGAGTCGTTTGGATATTTGGTAGAGCTTGTAATGCCCCCCCACGAAGTGGGGGTATTGCCTGGTGTCGTATGAAAACCCTGGCACTGGGGAGAACACCACGCGTTCGGGTAAAATGATTGTTGTTGTTGTTGTTGTTGTTGTTGTTGTTGTTTTCTGTTGTCTCGCTGCCCACTTCGCCGTCTGTGCCCGCGTTTGGGCTCGGGCCCGCAGGCCCGCTTGCGTGCCGCACGTGGCCAAGGAAGGGCGTTGTGCCTCGAAGTGATGGGGTTGTTTCAGGAGGGAAAGAAACACACAGACACAATTCATCGCCGATTCAAGCGTCTGAATCTACGTGATTGGGTTGCAGAACACCGCAAAGCCGCAGTACGTTGGCTTGGACGCATGAGTACTGACACAGAGTCGTGGGCACAGATTGCACTTAACTGGGAGCCAGAGAACCGCGTCCGGCGGCGTGGGGGGCAGTGCAAACGCTGGCTGGAATGCACCGTCGAGTACCAGAACTGAGAGCGCTGAGGCGCCACCGCGCCACCCGTCTCGGGACGGCCTCCGGGCCGATGGAGCGCGTCGTTCATTCGTTCCCCCAAAAAGATGGGAACAGTGCGAAAATATGGGGAATCTTGCTCTTTGTGTGTATTTTTTGTTTGTGTGTGTGTCCTGGGGCCCCTTCATTGTTGGTGCGTCCTCGAGCTCGGCTTCTGGGAGCTCGCCCGTGGACTTCGGGAGCACCAGCAGCGGACGGAGCCGGGGCTCCAGGATCTGCTCTCGAGAGGTGGGTCGGGGCGGGACACAGCCTGTCTTTTGTGGGGTGAGCTGCGCGTGCTTCAACTCCGAGAACTGCTGGCCGATCTGCTTTTATGTTCAGAGGAGGATCGGGGGTGGACAGACCTCCTGCCCTGACACGTCGATTAAGGAATTGGCAGTTTTCGGTTCGCGAGGGGGCGTCGCGGCCGTCATTTTTGCGGGTCCAGGTCCGTCGGTTTCGGTCCCAGGCCGTTTTCACTAAGGGGAGGTCTACTAAAGGGAGGTTTGTCCCTTGCCGAGAGGAGAAATACCGACGCCGCTGCTCGCCCTGGGGGGCCCTCGCCGCCCTGGCTGGACTCTCGAGTGTCTGGTCGGCATGCGCCCCAGGTGCGGTCTGGGGAGTAGCGTCAAGTCGGGCATGCTCCTCTGCAGGAGGAATGTTCAAACACTCATCAAAACAACTAGTCCAGGGACGATTTTATGTTCACCATTTTTGATAATGGTTTGGCTCATGTTTATTGGTTCTTCCAAAAAACCGCCTGTAGGAGGACATACCCGACCCAAGAGTAGCAGTCGAGTATCCCCTTGTATCCACAGGCTTGCGATGTGTTTTGGGCTGGCGCTCTGGGGCTTTCGGACTACGTGGCCCGACGGTTGGCCGCAGCCGTGTCTCGGCCAGTCTCAGGTTCCACGGGCATCGGGCGAAGGAGAAGCGACACCACCACCACCGGGGAGCCCACCTCCAACGAGGAGGTCCACGTTGCCTCCCCGAGCTGGGGCTCGGGGATGTCTCGACCGAGAGGGGGGGACTACACCACCAGGGGGACCCCTCTTCGCTCCCCCCGCTGTTGGTCCCTGGAGGTGCCGGGTGCCGCCTCTCCTGGTTCCCGGGGGCACGAGACCGTGCCGGCTGGGCCACGGGGTGGGCTCCTGGCCCCAGCTCGGGCGGTGGCGAGAAGGCGCCAGGCGTCGAGTGGCGACGGCCAGGGCGCGGAGGAGCTGATCTGCGGGACGGTCTCGTCTTCCTCCTCCCCGTCTGCTTCCTTGTGATGTTCTTCCTTCTCGTCTTCTTCTTCTTCTTCCTCATCTCCACCTCCCACCTCCTCCTCCTCCGTCTCCTCCTCCCTTGGGGGTTATGAGGTTCGGTGGCTGCCTGGCCGCATCGGGGCAAGCGTGCGCGCCGGTTCGTTCAGAAGAGGGCGTCGAGCGACCGCGGAGGAAGGTCGAGGAGGTAGCCGCGCTCGGAGCGTGCAGCACTTCACGCGTGCTGGAGGCTTCCGTTTTTTTCTGAGCTCGCGGCTCCCGGGAGACCTGCCGGGGTTGTAGCTCGCGTTGATAGTGTTTCGAGGATCGAGGCGCGGGTGTCGAGCTGTTGTTGGCGACTTCGGCTTCTTTGGGAGGATTCGCTGGGTGCCGTCGTGGCCACGGCTGGATTCGCCGTGCAATTCTGGTCGGCACGCACCCGTAGTGGGGGGCAGTATTGACCCCCCCGTCGACGGCGTTGACTTCGGTAGCAACTCATGGGAGCCTTGTGTGTCCACGCACTTCCTTCTCTACGTAAATCGCGTTCGCGTGTGCTAGCGACTGGTGGTCGATCGGACAGCGCCGGTTTCAGCTTCGAGTGACCCCGCCTAGCATCGACTCGCGAGAGCCAGCAATACGGCATGGGAGGCTCCCATCAGTTGCCACAGAACGATGGGCAAATGATCCACCACCACTACCATATGTAGGACGGGGGAGGAGGGAGGATGAGGAGATCCTCCTCCTCCTCCTCCTCCTCCTCTTCCTCCGTCTCTTTTTCCTCCTCCTCCTCCTCGCCCTCCTCCTCCTCCTCCTTCTCCTCCTCCTCCTCCTCCTCCTCCTCCTCCTCCTCCTCCCTCTCCTGCCTATGGTAGTGGCGGTGGAAGGTGGGCCCATCACAGAAGCTGGCATCGGTGCCTGCGCTCCGGAGATTTTGCAGGGGCGCCTCCTGGAGGCCTCGCCGCCACGGGCGGGCGCGGCTCTCGCCAAGCCGACCAGGGCGGCGTCGGAGGCGGCCAGGTGGCCTTCGCCGTCAGAGCTCTTGTCCCCACCTCCCGATCGTCAGTTGCGCACGAGTCGCGACCCCGAGGCCACGCGAGCTCTCCCAAGCCGCGCCAGCTTCGGGCCCCCGAGGCCACGGAGCCCCCGTCAAAGGTGTGCACCGCCCGCGCCCCGAGGCCACGAGCCCTCGCAGGCATTCTTCGCGAGCTGCGCCGCAGTCTCGCCCCCGAGGCCACGAGCCCTCGTAGGCTGCAGCAGGTCTGCGCCTCCGACGCCACGGCCCCTGCCCAACTGACGCCCGGCGCGCGCCCCCGAAGCCACAGTCCCAGTCCGCTCAAAATCGCTCTCCGGGCAGCGTGCCGAGCTGCGGCCGGCCTCGGAGAGGAGGGGGTCCAGTCTCTCTCCGCCCTGCCGGCAGGGACCGGTGCTGGGCCACCTCGGCCCCCCAAACGGTCTCAGTTCAGCGAGCGAAGAACGGTATAAGATAAACTTTTTCGCCGTCGGGGACACCTGCCCCTGGGCGGCTGGAAAGTTTATACCCCTACGGTGCCACCGTAAGGTTATAACCTTTCCGGCCGCCCAGGGGCAGGTGTCCCCGACGGCGAACAAGTTTATTTTATACCGTTTTTCGCCCGTTAATCAGTGAGGGTGGGCCCCGTGAGGGGCCCCGAGATTTGCGTGAGCCGATTCTGTCTGCGGTGGCCTTTGTCGTCGTCTCAGACTTCCCTGTGTGCCGCCCTCCTCCCTCCGCAGTGGCGGCCAAGAGGGGGATGCCTGACAACATTGAGGGGGGGATGCCACGTCCAGTGCCACGAGATCTCCCCGAGATCATGTTCCCCACCTTTCGGGGTTCAAGGGATGGGGGTCAGGCAGCGCGCCAGATCCTGCAGGATCCTGCAGGGCCAGGGTTGCACCGACCCGGGCTGGGGTGCAGGATCCGCAGGAGCATACGGGATCCTGCGAGGCCGACTGGCCCAGGTATGCATTGATCCGGGTCAGTAGATGCCCGATTCTTCTTTCAGTACGTCTCCTGGCCCCCCCTGGGCCGCGCACAGGCCTCGGGCCATGTTTCCCCCCCCCCCCCCCCCCCCCCCCCTCTCTTGTGCGACTCCCTCTTGTGCGACCCCGGCCTCCTCCGCCTCGCCGAGTCGGGCCGCCGGAGGCGCTTCGATCCAGCAGGGCCCAGCTCGGATCTAATACAAGTTCGCGCGGGCCTCCGCAAGTCTGCGTCTGTGCACTTTTTGTTTACCCAAGAACTGACTTAGCGTAAGGGGTTCTTACTTAGGCCTCCTAGAAGGGGTCCGAGCAGATGGGGTCGGAGGATCGCGCCGCGTCGCAGATGCATCGGTGATGCGTCCCGATGTGGAGCGCGTTTTTTTCGTCACGTCGACGTCGCCGATGCATCGCCGACGTTGCCGATGCATCGCCGATGCGGTGCAATCCTCCGACCCCATCTACCCGGACCCCATCTAGGAGGCCTATTCCGAAGCATGAGGATTGAAAATTACCAGACCTCTGCCGGCTTTGCTGATGCAGTCGCTTTCGTATTCGTGGCCGACCTTAGTTCCCAACCATCCCTTTTGTGTTGGGTCCTCGTCATGAAGAGACAGCATTCCGCATCCCCTCCTCTCCTCCTCTCTTCCTCCTCCTCCTCCTCTCTCCTCCCATCTCTGCCTCTGCCCTCCGTGTGTCCACTGCGGCACGCCCCTCAGTGGCCCCATAGGGAGCTCCACCGAATGCCTCAGAGGCACAGTTCGCAGATTGGCGAAGCACACGCTTCCGTACACTACTGACACGCTTCGTGGCCCTGTAGGGAGCTCCGCCGAAGGCCTCATGGGCACCGTTCGCATGTGGGCGTCGCGCCCGTTTCGGCACACCCCTCACGTTTCGTGGCCCCACAGGAAGCTCACCGAATGCCCCAATTGCACCGCTCGCATGTGGGCGTCACGCCCGTTTCGGCACACCCTCACACGCTACGTTGTCCCATAGGAAGCTTCACCGACGGCCACAGCGGTAGAGGCCGCATGCGTCCCCGCGCCCATGTCGGCACACTCCTGACACGTTTCGTGGCCCCAAAGGGAGCTCCACCGCACAGAGTGCGTACCCACATCGCGGTACTCCCAAATGCATCCTTCGCCCAGGTTCTGTTTTGGTGTTCTGCCTCTGGAGGCCCAGCGATGACGAAGAGCGAGAAAGAGCTTCGAACATCGGCCCCAAAGAAAGCCACGACCTCGGGCAAGTTGCAGAAATCCGCTCGGACTACCGAAAAGTCTGCGTCTGTGCGGCATGTTGTTTCTTATGCGTTGGAAGGCCCCGGGAGGGCGAACACCAAGCAGGAGCCTCGAACCTCGGTCCTAATGGCGTACCATTTTGCCCAGTCGGGTGCCAATCGCGTGCCAAGTCGTCGGCCGATGCTCCACTTCGCCAGCCTCCCGAGTCCTGCAGCGCCCAGCCGCGCACCGCGGAGCCCTCTGCGGCCACAGAGTCACGTCGCCCGAG